CATTTGTGGACTTCAATCCCCAGAATGCCTCAGCTGGCATTTGTGGACTTCAATCCCCAGAATGCCTCAGCTGGCATTTGTGGACTTCAATCCCCAGAATGCCTCAGCTGGCATTTGTGGACTTCAATGCCTAGAATGCCTCAGCTGGCATTTGTGGACTTCAATCCCAAGATTGCCTCAGGCGTCATTTGTGGACCAACTCATAGAATTCCTCAGCTGGCATTTTTGGACTTCAACCCCCAGAATGCCTCTGGTGTCATTTGTGAACTTCAACTCTCAGAATGCCTCAAAAGACATTTGTGGATTTCAACCCCCAGAATGCCTCAATCAGCATGTTTCTCTGCCTCCCCAATAACCCCTGTTCTACAGCGACTGGGCATGCTCAGTTTTCTCTTGTTGCTTTAACATTAAGACAGGGGTCTCCAAACTTGGCAACTTTAAGACTTGTGGACTTCAACTCCCAGAATTCTGGGAGTTGAAGTCCACATCTTAAAATTGCCACGTTTGGAGAATTCTGGGAGTTGAAGTCCACATGTCTTAAAATTGCCAAGTTTGGAGACCTCTGCGTTAAGATCTTGGCCTGAGCTTACCAACATTAATCCAGAGATGGTGTCAGTTTGACTGGATGACCCAAAAAACCATCACCTCTTTTAATAACAAGAGACAATGTTGATCAAGTCCATCCATCAGATGGAAAATTATATAGGGAGTCCTTGACTTAGAACCATTCATTTAGCGACCTTTTGAAGCTACGACGACATTGGAAAAAGGGACTTATGATAATTTTTCACACTTACAAGTATGGTAGCATCCCCAGTGGTCACGTGATCAAAATTCAGATGCTTGGCAAACAGCATATATTTATGATGGTGGCAGTGTGTGTGTCCCAAGATTCATCCACAGATAGTCCTCGACTTAAAACCACAAATGAGCCCAAAGTAAGGGCAAAATTCAGTGAATTTTGACTCCTTTTATGACCTTTCTTGCCACCGTTGTTAAGTGAATCACTGCAGTTACATGGTTGTTAAGTGAATCTGGCTTCCCTATTGACTTTGCTTGTCAGAAGGTTGCAAAAGGGGATCGCATGACTCCAGGAGACCACAACCGTCATAAATACGAGCCAGTGGCCAAGTGGCTGAATTTTTAATACATGATCATAGGGACAATGCAACGGTCGGAAGTATGAAAAACGGTCATAACTCTAATTTTTTCTGTTGTAAATTTGGACGGTCACTAAACAAGCTGTTGTAAAGTTGAGGGTTACTCGCAATCAGCTTTTGCAACCTTTTGACGAGCCAAGTCAATGGGGAAGCCATATTCACTTAACAACTTCAGTGATTCACTTAACAACAGTGGCGAGAAAGGTCGTAAAGTGGGGGAAAGGTCTCTTAACAATTGTCTCACTTAGCAACAGAAATGTTGTGCTCAATTGTGGTCTACCTTTATTTCACTCTTGGTGTAGATGCAAGTAGTTCTTTACTTACGATAGTTCATTTAGCGACTGTTCAATGTTACAAGAGCATTGAAAAAAGTGACTCATGACCGTTTTTCACACTTATGACCATTGCGGCATCCTCAAGACCCCTTTGGTGTCTTTCTGGCAAGCAAAGCCAATGGGGAAGCCAGATTCACATAACAACCATGTAACTAACTTCTCCACGGCAGGGATTCACTTAACAACTGTGGCAAGAAAATTCATAAAATGGGGCAAAATTCACTGAATAAATGTCTCACTTAAGAACAGAAATTTTGGGCTCAATTGTGGGATTCCCTGTACATCCACCTTAAACATGATCTTCTCTTCTCTTCTCTTTTCTCTCCTCTCTCTTCTCTCCTCTTCTCTCCTTTCTCTTCTCCTCTCTCCTCTCCTCTCTTTTCCTCTCTCCTCTCCTCTCTCTCCTCTCTTCTCTCCTCTCCTCTCTTTTCTTCTCTCCTCTCCTCTCTCTTCTCTTCTCTTCTCTTCTCTTCTCTCCTCTCCTCTCTCCTCTCCTCTTTTCTTCTCTCCTCTCTCTCCTCTCCTCTCTCTCCTCTCTCT